GGTGTCCCCATGTGTGTGTCAGAGTAGAACTGTGCCCCACGGGGTTCTCAGTGATTTTTCATAAGTAGATTCCACTCATGGTGTCCCCATGTGTATCAGAGTAGAACTGTGCCCCACAAGGTTCTCAGTGGATGATTTTTCGTAAGTAGGTTCCATTCATGGTGTCCCGTGTGTATCAGAGTAGAACTATGCCCCACAGGGTTCTCAGTGGATGATTTTTCGTAAGTAGGTTCCATTCATGGTGTCCCGTGTGTATCAGAATAGAACTGTGCCCCACAGGGTTCTCAGTGGGTGACTTTTCATACGTAGGTTCCACTTATGGGTCCAGAGCTCTCTCTGCGTTTTCCTGTCATCAATCCCTCTCCCTCACTATTGTGCAGCATGTTCCAGACCCTCGTCTGAATCCATCATCCCTTCCTGGCTCTGGGGGAATGGATACCCTGCTGCTATGTGGAGATGGGAGGGACTTGTCTGGGGTCCCTTGAAAGGCCAGTGGACAACTCCTAACTACATCCTTTTCCTGCCATAAGCCAGCATGGTGTGTGACCCAGAATCCATCAACATGAGTTGGATGTCATGGTCAAGAACATCCTTGGGTCCCACACTGCACCACGTTTTGCTTCTCTGGGTGCCAAGGAACTCCATGATGAGACATTCACACTGACCAGAGTTGGGCTGGGATGTGTGGGGGATGCCCTGCAGCCTGCTAGCCTGGGCTCTTACCATTGGTGTAGGGGTTGGCCGTCTTCTTATTGGTCATGACGCGGGCCGTGGCGTTGTTGACCTGCCCAGAGAGCAAGAGAGTGAGGGCAACATTAGCTTCTTTGCTGCTCTGCTGCTGACCCTCTAGTGGCCACCCTGGAGGGGCGGAACATTCCAGAAAGGCTTCTGCCACCCATCCTGCTCACTCGGGGTTCCTCTCCTCGCTGTGTGCCCTCCCTCTAGGGAGCCCTGGATGCCACTGGCCAATGCCCAGCCTGGCCTAGGACCCTGGGACCTTAGCTGAAGATACTGTGTCCAGCTCTACTGGTTCTGGACCCGAGGCTGCCCCAGGATCCAATCTCCCCTCTGAGGCAGGGCACACAGGTGGCTGTTTCTCTTTCCAGGGAACACCCCAGCCCCCAAACCACAATGCATCCTAGGGAGTGGTTCTGGGTAGCCGGACGCCAAGATAACACTCTAGGAGGGCCTACTTTTCAGAGGTCTAAGACCTGGGTTACACTGTCCAGGGCAGTGGAGGCTGGACTCAGAAGGGGCTGAGGAAGCATCAGTGACAGGGCACAGAGAACAGTGCAGGTGGAAAAGGTCAGAGGACAAGTGTGGGTCTTCCTGTCTCCCCTCACATCCACGGCTCATCCCAGGACCTGGGCTGAGGCCTCAGGTGACCACCTGGTGCTAGATCAGAGCCGGGGCCCTCAGCAGGTCCTTCCATAGTTTCCTCCCTGCCAGTCACCCCCATTGCCCTGGCTGGGAAGAAACCCAGAGCTGGCGTCAGGGGACAGGACTGCACAGCCCACAGACTCTCTGGGTCTCTGTCCTCCCGCCATCTGCTGCTGCTGCTCCTGCCTCTACCCAACCAGGGCATCAGGAGGAGGTTGGGAGGGTAGGTCCCCCAGGGAAGTTTGACATCTGGCCCCCACACGGCTGGCCGGCAAAAAGTCCAGCAGAGAGCCAGGATGTGGAATGGGCCCTTCCTGCGGGGTATCCCTGCCGCATCGCACTTATCTGAGCACCTCAATTTTCCGTCCCTCTACGATGGTCCCATTCAGCTTCTCCCGGGCTCGGTCAGCGTCTGAGCTAGTTTCAAAAGTTACAAACCCAAAGCCCTGCAAGTGGGGAGAAGGACAGACGTGGGGAGGAGAACAGAGGATGAGAGAAGGACAGGAGGTGGGCGTGGGAGGGAAACAGAGAGGGGAGAGAGAGGCCAGTCAGGTGGGCTGGAGTAGGCCTTGGAGGCCGCTGCAGGAGCACACTGCTGGCCCCTTTAGGGGTCAGCGAAAGCTATAAGAGTCCCTAACCTGGACATCAGGCCTTGGTTTGGAGTGGGGGGAGGGGAGTCCAGGCTGGGGTCCAGGCCTCTCAGGAGGACAGACAGTCCCCACCAGACCATCACCTCAAGAGCCAGGGCACCCAGGTGTGTGTGGACTAGGCACCTCCTGGATGCCCACCCTGCAGCCCCTCCCCAAAGCCGACTCCGGGGTCAGCGCCCCCCCGCCCCCGGCTGAGCAGGCAGCTGAGAGAGAGATCGGTGCAGGGCAGCAACATAGACAGCTGTGGGAGGGGGTGCAGAGGGGGCAGAAACAAGCACCCTTGTCACCAGGGGTCCTTGGGTGACACATCTCAGAGTTAGCCAGACCAGACGACAGCGGCGGAAACGGGGCAGTCTCTGGAGGCACCCACCTTGGAGCCCCGCTCGTTAAAAATGATCTCCACATCTAGAATCTTTCCGAATTGCTGCGGAGACAGAGAGAGGGTGGGGAGACATGAGGCTTTGGCAACCACGTGCTACATCCCACCCTGGCCAGTCCCACCTTCCCCCCACAAATATTGGGTACAAACAGGCCGAGGATCCCTTTCCCCCTCCCTGAGGTCTCGAGCCACACAGAAGGGGTCTCTTGGTGTAACAAGAGGGTGTCCTTCAGGGGACACGGCTCACAGATGGGCAGGTTAGGGGTGTTACTGCGGCCCCTCCCATCTCCCTATTGGGACTGCCACAGGTGACCCCAAGACTGTGTGGTCCCCCACCATTTCCAATGGTGGCTCACTCCCTGGCAGGTTGTCCCCATGGCTGGGAGGGTAAATGGAGGGAAGGGCTAAGGAGAAAGCCAGGAAATGAGGTGGGGGGCATTGGAGGGAGCCCGAGAGCAGGAGGGGCTGATGGAGGAGGGTCCAGGGGGAAACCCAGTGCCCTGAGTCCTACCCCCATGACATGGGCAGTCTGGGACTGGGGCTGTTGGGTACAAATAGTCCCAACCTGCACACATGGGGCACATGTTTGACAGGGTCACCTCTTCCCACAGTGTCCCACACAGGTGTGTATGTGGGGCAAGGGGTGCAATTCACCTCAGAGCTGGACAGACTGAGTAGAGAGGGACAGCTCCCTACTCCTAGGACTTGGACCCCAAAATGCAGGTCTGGGACCATGACCAAGCAGGCTGGCACCACGAGGGACCTGCTGTCTTCACTTCAGGGGACCCCCAGATTACTGTCAGTTCCCAAATCCAAGGGGGCGGTGGGTGCCTGGGGTAAGGCTCAGGAGTGTGGGTGGGGATCCTCTGGAGACCATATTCAGTTTATATGAAAAATCCCAGCTGGGGGCAATGAGGGGAGACCAAGGAGCTGGACACCCCTGACGAGCAGGTGGGGGTGGGCGTGCAGCAGGCAGCAGATGGGGGAGGAGTGTGGGAGTGTCCTTGGGGGACACTAGCTCCCCCATAACTGGCACCCGGGAACTTAAGTCAGGGTCCACAGTCCTGATGTGGATGGTCCTCCATTCAGCTGAAACCCAGGGGCGTCCAGGAATGTAGGCAGGGGCCCATCCTGTGAGTCCAGGAGGCTGGGTACCCCCAAGAGGGGCACATGGGTCCCTGGAGTCATTGTTGAAGATTTGATCAGGAACAATAACCCATCTTGTACCAGCTACGAAGCCCCTGTGAGCAGGTGGTGTGGACTTGTGTGTCAGGAGGTGTTGAAATTGACCAGAGCTAGCCAACCCACCCCCTCCCATACCTCAGCTCAGGAGAAGAGCGCTCTGGGGCCCTGGCCACCTAGTGGACGCAGCAAACCTTGCGGCTGAATTGAGAATGCCCGGGGCCTCACACATACTCACCCCGAACATTTGTCGCAGATCGGGGTCCCTGAACCGGAAGGGGATGTTGGAGACATGGAGCCGTTTAGGCTGCTGCTTCTCTGAGGGGTCGGAAGGCTGCAGTGTCTGACTGTCCGTCTGCGCTGCTTCGTCCGTCTGCTTTGGGAGAGGATCCAAGTCTGTGAGGTGCCCTCTCTGGTTCTCAGGGCCCAGCCCACCCTCTGCTGTGTGGGGGAGGGCTAAAGCAGTTCTCCCCAGACTCCTGGATCCCAGAAAGAGCAGAAGACTTTCCAGGAGACAGGGCCGTGTGGCCCTTAGCCTCCCAGGTACCCCCTTCCTCTACCCAGGCTGTGCCAGAAACCATGGGCAAGGTGTCTGCTCATCCTCCGGCAGCCCCAGGACCCAGCCTCCAGGGTCTCAGCATCACTGAATCCTTTCCCAATCACCCTGATGGATGGGGCAGTCTGGGAAAACAGGCTGTGTATGGAGGCCAAGGACTGACAGCAAAGGACAGCCAGGTTTCAGAACTGGCTCTGGATGGTGACCTCCCGGCGGTCACTCAGAAGCATCTGCCCCCTTAGGAGGTGGGCCAGCTCTGGCCTGGCTTGGTAGTCACACCCAGTTCTGGACCACATGTTCACTGGTCAGCAGGTAATCTGGAAGATGCACATCTTGAAACCTGTCTGCCAACCAAGGGGCTGCATCCTTTCAGCTCCTGAAGGACCAGTGTGCGGTGTGACGGTTGGCGTGCGTGCGAGAGTGTGCGTGGCTCCTGTGGAGGGCTACAAACTTGCCTCAATGCTGGTCTTGACCTGGCTGGGAGACCCATTGTCTCTTGGCTGGGCCCTCCTCAGTGCCTGCTCTGGTTCTGAGCATGCTCTCTGCATCCTTCCCGCTGTGGGTGGAGCCAGAACCCTGGAGTGGGCTGTGAGGTTGGGGCTTTGGGAGGGATGTGGACTCTCAGGGTCTGACAGCTGGTAGTGGCACCTTGGGGTTATTGAGAGTCCTGTGGTTGGAGCAACTGATGAGCAGGCCCCTAAGACTCCTGGTCTGGCTGCCCCAGGCCCTCACTCATTCCTGAAGCCCGGAATCTGGACGTGCCCAGCAGCCTCACTCTCTTACTTGGTGCCAATCTTTCTTGCGGAAGACAAGCCTGTGTTGGGTCTCCTGAGAGGTCCCGAGTACCTCTGAATCAAGAGGTCCACGCCAGGCCCCCATCCCAGCTGATTCGGCCATAGGTCCAGGCCCCCACATGCTGGACAGACAAGGTGTGACCATTTTTTTCTGGTGGAAACTGTGCAGTGGTCATTGAGCTGGGCACACTGTGTCCTGGGAGAGTCTTGGGCACAGACTTGAATCAGCTTGATTTTAGGAATCCAGGCTGGAGAGGGCATGTCATACTAGCTATGAACCAGCAGAGGGCAGTGGTCAGCCCAGCAGGGTGGTCAGGAGTTCCTTGGCGGCCTAGCTGGGGACTGTGAGCTCTGGGTGGACACTGGGCTGTTGGTTATGAAGCTGGGGTGTCTGGGTCCCCAGTGTCTCTTCAGGACCTCATACCCCACCCCTAAAGGGGGAGAAGTGGGGTGGTGAAGTTGCCAGGGAGGACACTCAAGTAGGCAAAGAGTCCCCCTGTGACCCCCACATCCCGGCTCAGTTTGGCTGTGGATGGAGGCTGGTAATGGGGCTCAATGACTAAAACTATGGGCTGTGTTCAAAGTGTGTGGAGCCCTAATATTAAGTGCTCAAACTGCCAGAGGCAGTGCTGTCTTTATCAGCTCAGGGTCCTTCCTGGGCACCCTCTTCGTAAGAAACAATTAGCCGTCTTTGCCTCCAGTTCTCAGATCTTAAATGCAGGGATGCTCATTCCCCCTGCCTGGCTGTTCTCAGTTGCTTGGTTTTTGGCGGCTCCCCTGTCTCGGAATCTCATCCTCGCCCAACCCAGGGTCCTGGTAGTTTAAGGAGAGTCCAGATGGCAACCAGAGTGCTCACCTCCCACACCTCCACCCTCAGAGGAGCCAGCGGCCCCATGCCTGGAGCTCTCCAAGCCCAGGGCACATGGGCCTAGAGTGTGTGGTCCTGGGGTCCCGGGGTCCTGTTGTAGGACAGTATGTGACCTTCAGTACAAGATGTCCCAACTCTCAGATACCTCCATTCTTGTGGCCTTCACCTCCTGCATCTGGTCCCCAGACATGCTGGACACTCTTGGGGTGACCCCACCATCAGCTGTCTGTACCAAGGTGGGCAGTGAGCCTACTCCAGAGGAGGGGTCTTTGATGTGACCCCATGTTACCTATTGGGAATGTCTGCTTTTATAGCTGGGGGCGCTGGGCAATCCTGTCCTCAGGGATGCCTTCCCAGGCTGTGTTGGTCTAGATGCCCTGGACATGTTTGAGCATACTCGGGTCTCTGTGCCAGCCTCTGGGTGGACACCCGCCCTGGCTGCATGAATGGCTTCTGCCGGGTCCCACTACGCAGACATTTGTGACTGTCTCACGCGGCTCCCCTCACTGGCTCCCCCTCTTTCTGTTTTCCAGTGGTTGCAGCTTCTGTTGGAATTGGGTAGCCTTGGCAACTGCTGGCTGGGGGTGGGGGGCACAAGAGGGCAATCAGGTGGAAGGGGGGTTCTGAGAGGAGTGGGTCCTCTAGGTGTCCCAGGGCTCAGGGTGGACAAATGGGGCAGACAGGTTACTGCCAGGGCCTGGGGCATCCAACAGTGCCTAGGCCTCTGTGGTATGGGGTACCCAGACCCCGAACCTGCAGTGAGATCCCTGGGGGGAGGAGAGGTGCCCAGGGTTTGAGGGCTGCATATTCTGACCCGGTGGGGGCCCAGGCAGTAGGCCCTGTGAAGTACAGGTGAGGAGCCCGCATGTGGGTCTCTGGGCTTGTTCTGAGTTGCCAGGAGGAGGCAGGCTGACACACAGGCCCTGAGCCATGAAACCTGACGCTCTGTCCTGATCCTAATACCAGGCGGCTTGGGGGAGAGGCCAACAGGAGGCTCTCAAGAGCAGGCAGGTCCTTGTGAAGACTACCGGGACCCAACACACGGATGGGGGCCCGCCACAGGGCACCATCAGCTAGGAGCTCAGAGCAGGACAGGTCTTGGGTGACCCTGGATGGGGGTTACAGTCACCCATTTCGGCTCCTCAACTAGAACAAATACTCCAGGGTTTGAGGGCTGACGGCCCCCAGTGGTGGCCCAGCCCCTCACTGGGCAGCTCCAACTTTCTGCAAGCCCAGGACCTTCTGTCTCCGGTCCCTCCTATGGCTCTGTGTCCTAGGAGGGACAAGCTTCAGGCCATGTAGCTCTGATGCCGGAAGAAGGGACGTTACAGGTCACTCTGTCCTCAGGGCCTCAGGCTTTGTCCGGCCCAGGCACTTCCTCGGAGGCACTGGGTCACTGACCTGAGGACTATCACTGCTCGAGTGGGGACGTTCTGCCTCTTTGGACACAGCATCAGCCTTTTCAATGGCTGCGGCTTAATCCTGGATCCTCTCCAAGGCCTGGATGCCCACAGGCAAGGGTGCCAACCCAACCTTCTCTCTCTGTCTTGACTTGGATGTCCTTGATCTGAGGGAACTGGCAGCCACCAGAGGGCAGGGTTGGCCGCTTCTTGTCTGTCCTCCTAGTACCAGTTGGTGGTGGGGGGAGGGCTGGGTGCCCTCTGTCCAACGGAGGAAGATGCTGTTTGTCCTGGATCCATGGTACCAGTGGTCCCAGGAGGTCAGGAAGGCCTCCAGACTTGTTTCTGTCACTTTGTCTTCACCCCACTTGGTGTCATCCTTCAGTCTGTCCATCCTAGTATCCCCGCTTCCTTCCAGAACACATCTCTATGGCACCACCAGAGACCCCTTCATCTGTCCACAAGGAGGGAGCCACAGTGCAGGCATGTATGTGGTCCCATCAGAAAGAGGAAGAGGCTGTCAGCCCCAACTCGTTCACAGTGAACCCATGCTAGCTCCTGGGATCACTGCTCTCTTTTCTAAGTATCCACCTGTCCTGGGTTTGGTGAATCAGAATTACAAGGTGCCCGCTGCGAAGTTTGACTAGAATCCCCACCCTATGACCCTGAGGGTCTTGCCTTTTCTGTGGAGACCCTGGGGAGCTGATAGGCAGGAAAAGGTCTTAGTACTCGGCTTTGGACAGCGCTCTGGGCATGGGAAGGTCTCAGCCGGGCCCAGGGGCAGCCAGGGTGACACTGGATGGGTGGAGACAATATTGGGATCTACGCCAGATTCAGGGAAAGTAGGAGGGAACACGGTGTGGGTGGGGGCACACATCAGGAGCCGTCAGGGTGATGAGGAACGAGCTGGCCTGCTGCCCAGTCCCTGACAAAGGATGGAGTGAGCTCCAAGTCTCAGAACAGGGATGGGGAGGAAACGGGCTGGTGCAGGCTGGGGCCTAGGGGTCTGAGGCAGGGCCTGAGCAGGGAGTCGGGCCCTGGCAGGCGCCCACCCTGTCCATCCGTGAGCTCCCTTTGCTATCAGGAGATCTGGGAGAATGTGGGGCTCAGCACTTTCTCTGAGCTGCATCACAACCACATAATTGAAGCTATCTGATTGGAGGGCAGCCAAGCAGGTAGATTACAAGTGATTAGAAATGATAGGAACGCCTGCAACTGGAGACCGCTCCCTGGCTGGCAGGCCCCTCCTTCCACAAACAGGTCCCACTCCCCCGACCTCCCAGACGAAGGGATCTGGTTGCCTGGAGCTCAGGGAGGCAGGGGGCAGTGACCAACAGTGGCCCTCATGGGCCGAGGGTCACCATCCCACCTTGCTGTGCCCAGTTACCCCCAGACATCCTTGGGGCTGAATGAGAAGGAGGTGGAAGAAGGTATTGGGAACATCTTTTCAGATAAGGAAGAGTTTTCCACACACAGAGGGGTCCCAGGATCCTCTGCTGCCCGAGTCGCCCCCAGTTGGACTGGGCTGGTGGGGCCACCCTTACCGGCACAGTCTGGGTTCCGGCTATGGACTGTGTGCTGGCGTCGATCCCTGGCTGCTCCGGATGGCTCTGTGCTGGTGTGTACAAGGCCATACCGTGTTCCGGGGGCACCGGAGTCTGGCCCGAGTAGTCCTGTGTGGGGTGTGGTGGGGGTGGGGCGTACTCGGCAGGGATGCCGTTCTGTGGTGGAGGGGGGTACTGGGCTGGGGGGTAGGGCTGGGCCATTGCTTCGGGGGGAGCCGTGACGTCCTGATTGCTCTGTGTAAGGAGAGAGAAAAACCTGGTTAGCATCTAGATTTGCCTTGGACGTGGTTCCTTTCCCAGAGCCCTGGGATGGCACCTTCTCAGGTGAGTGGGTGCCTTATCTCGGTGGGGGTGCCCTCAGCATGTACCGGGGAGCCCAGCATAGCTCAGGGTTCTGCGTTAGACACCCTAGTTTGAGCCCAGCCATGAGGACTTCTCAGACCTTGAATATATTACGTAAGTGTAAGTGATTAAGATGAAATCCCTGTAACAAAACCAACCAGTCTTAAGTGCACACTTCAGGGGTATTGCAACTACCACCCCTGCCTGGTTCCCGAGTGTTTACGTCTCCCCAAAGAAAAGCCCCGTGTCCAGTAAGCAGTGTCTCAGGGTACTTTTCTTCTTTCTTTGGAACCCACCAAAAAAGTGAAGTTTCCAATTAAGCTTTTAGTTTTAAGATACTGTGGATTCCACATAGGGTTGTAAGAAGTTACAGACCTCACAAGCAGGTGGGCCCAGTTCCTCCAATAGTAACTTCTTAGACTACCTGTTGTACAATATTAAAACCAGGATGCCTCCCTGGTTACAGTATAGATGCAGACCGGGTGGGCCCCGTTCCCTCAGTGGTAACCTTTTCACAATGTCACAACCAGAATATCTCCACCGTTACAATAAAGATACAGAACGTTTCATGGCATTTGGTGGGTCAGTTCCCTGAACGGTAACCTTTTCTTACAGCATGTGGTACAATGTTACATACAACCACGATGCCTCCACTGCTGCAGTAAAGATACAGAACATTTCATCCCAGAAAATCCCTCTGCTCGCCCTTTGCAACCACGCCCACTTCCCTCCTGCCATTTAAGGGTTTTCAACCTGTTTCCTCATCTGGTGGCAGAAGCTAAACAAGCAGGTCGGCGGTTCAAGCCTACCAGAAAGACGAGGCCGTAAAGACTACAGATTTGGAAACCCTCTGGGGAAATTCCTCTGTCCTACCGAGTCACTAGGAATCAGAGGGGACTTCATGGTGATGGGTTTTGAGGCTTAATGCAAGGGTCAAAGCACATGTTCTGTGAGTCTGTGGGCTGGATTGAACCAAGCGACCACGCAGGAATTGAATGTGCAAAACATCAAAACAAAATAAAATGCAAAGACCACCCCAAACAATGGCCACTGGGATGAAGTGCTGTCGGTGGGGTGTGACAAGTCCCGGTTTCTGCTGGCAGAAGTTCTCCTAAAGGTCCCTTCCACTTTCTCCACTTTCTGGCAGCTGACTCCCGCCGCTCCTGGACCCTGGGATGGTCCCATGGCACCCCAGGCCAGCAGTTTCCAGCAGGAGGCACCCTAACCAATGCAAGTTCTCAGCCCACTCCAGACCTCGGCCTCCGAGAGCCCCCAGAATGAGGCTCTGGGTGGTACCAAAGGCTAACTCACACTCGGCAGCCCAAGGAAAGATGGGAGGTTTAAACCCACCCAGACGTGACTTGAAGAGAGTCCTGTCAACCCACTTCCTAAACAATCATATATTGAAAACCCTGAAGAACACGGGTCTACTCTGACACACACGGTGTCATCTGGTTTTCACGGTGATTCTGAGACTCGCTGATTAGGGTTCAGTGAGAAGCTGCTGTGGAGAGCCAATTTCCCCCTAAGAAGGAGTTGGGTTTGCAGTGGTGATGGGGAGAAGGGGAGCAGGAACGGGGCTTCTGACTTTGTGCCTCCCAGTCCTCTCCTGTAGGCACTGAAGGCAGGCTTGGAGCAGGCCCGTCTTTGGCATTCTAAGGGTGCCGCCCGGTGAGAGACAGAGTCCCCTCCATCACCAGAAGGAACAGATGCTACCTCTGACTGGAGCAACCCCAGTGGAAGAGCCCTTGAACACAAGCGGACAGATCTCACACTCACAGCTGCCTGAGGGGGTGCAGGCAGATCAGTTTCCTTGTTGAAAAGTGGGGGAATGGAACTGCATAAACTCACAGAGGGGGTGCTCCAGCTCCTCACTGCCCCTGAGCAGAAACCTCTCCTCCTCAGAGAATCAGCTAATCCCTCCTGCCCTGTCCGCAGCCCTCTGCAGATGCTGAAACCCTCAACTCCCCTTCTCTGCAGATGCTGAAAGTGGGCAACACTTGAGTTCCTGAGCAATGAAGAGGAGATGAAGGCTTGCATGTGTGTGTGCACGCGCGCGCACACACACACACACTCATACTCACGTACCCTCACCTACGCCCATATGCACAGACGTGTACAGACACAGAACATGTTCACACACTCATATACACATTCACACACTACATGCACAGTACAGTACATTCACGAACACACAGTCACACACATGAGTGCGCTCCCTTGCTACAGGCTTCCCCTCATGATCTAGGTCCCCCAGAAGCCCATGTGTGGTGATGAGGAGGCTGGTGGGATGTAGGCACCCAGGGTGGTGGAGAAGAGAGGGATAGATGTTACAGTAAGGAGGCAGGAAGCGGGGTGCACGTGGGAGCTTGGGGGCAATGTGGGCAGTGTGGGGACACTGGGACAGAGAAGCACTGCCCGCCCCCAGAAACACAAGTGTCAATCACCTGATGGATATTTGATTAGGGCCTCACCACTATCACACCGCCTCCCAGGCCCCAGGCAGGTGGGCCTCCCTCCAGCTCCCCTCCCATCATGACCACGGCCCCACTCAGGGGAGGAGTCAGGATATCTGCAGCATGAGGGTGGGCACCAGGCAGTGAAGAGACCCCAGTGCCTGGGTCTGGGAGGACCTGGGGGCGGCCAGGGAGGCTGACTTCTGAAGGGAGCACTTTTGGAACGTACACGGCAGGATAAACATGGTGCCTCCTTATGTCTCTCATGTCGTAGCTAATTCAATGGGGGCTGCAGCCACTGCCAACTTAGCAGGCTGCTCCATGGAGGACTCCGGTTAGCAGCCTTGGCTGCCTTATTCAGTCTCAAAATTTTAAATACCACCTATCTCAGAAACCTTATTTAGGGTCGCTGTGAGTCGGAACCAACTCAACGGCACTCAACAACAACAGTATGTGAACACAAGGCCCTTGGGTGGTGTGTACAGTTGGCTTGTAACTGCTAACCTAAAGGTTGGACGTTTGCTCAAACCCATCCAGTGGCACCACGGAAGAAATGCCTGGCAATCTGCTGCCATTAAGATGAAAACCAAGAAAACCCTATGGAGTAGGTCTACTCTGTAACACAGGTTGGGGACTGACTTGATGGCAGCTAGCAGAAACAGGTGATGTGGGCACCTGGAAGGTGGTGGGGGCCTGGAGGTGGGGGTGGGGCATGGGGAGATCAGCCATGATGGGGTATCCATGCCACAGAAATTAGCAGATGATGCACATCAGACCACATTTGTGTGTCTCTCTCAAATCACACCACACGGGACCTGTCAATGGTGAGCTCTCCCCATTCCACGCTGCCCTGCCCAGTGTGCTCCCACTTCTGCCTGGGTGTACACGTGTGTGTGTGTGGGGGGTGGGGGTGGGCAGCTGGAGCTTGGGGTACAGACAGTGGAGGGCAGTGCAAGGGCTGGAGGGCTGGCAGTGGATGGCTCTTGCTCAGCCTGTCTGGCCACGTCAGTCAGGCTCACACTCATTCCAGGCCCTCTGCTCCCAGGCAAGGCAGGACAATTAAGCTAATTGCTTCTCAGACTCCCATACCCCCGAGGGCGCCACACAGAGCCCAGGTCCCCAGGCCAGGCTATGGTGGGAGGGAGGCTGGCGGCAGAGGCTGGGCACTGGGCCATGGCTCCCTCACTGCTGGGCAGAGCCGCTTGCAGGCCGGAAGGAGACAGAACAGCAGGTCCCCATCACAGCGCCCTTATGCAACTTTCCTGTCCACCTTAGACATGAATCCACCTCCAGCAGGTGTACCTAGCACCTGCCCTTCTCCTCCCACCCTGGGTACAGCCTGGCCCAGGAGTGAGCCCCTCCCTCCACCTGCCTCCACCCCCGGTCTAATGTCTGTGCTGTCACATGGTCACACTGGGCACGGGGCACAAGGTGAGAACTCACAGGGTTGACGAGAGCCCCGATGTACAGGTCCTGCAAACAGCCACCAGAGCCCCTGGTGACCAAAGGGCTGGACTCTTAGAGCCTCACCTCACTGAGGGGACTATCAGGATAACGGTGACATGGGTCATGGGCAGGACCCACCCTCCCCAGGTCTGTGGAGCTCCAAAGTCCCTCCCCCAACTCTGTCATGACAGCAAGTGCTTTGTGTCAATCTGGTGTCTCTAACAATGCCCCCGTCCCCCAGGCATGACTATGAAGGCATTTGTGGACAGACAGCATCCTCAGTAATGGGGTGGGTGGGCTTCTGCTGATCTGCTGACGGTCTTAAGAACAAACACAGGCTCCCCAGCGCCTGCTCTGTGTTCAAATCCAAGACTAACACATCCTCCGGCCAATTCCTTCAACTAAAGCTTCTCCAGCTAGATAAACAGACACACGGAACATTGATGTGGTGCTGCTGGATCAACACTGGACTGTGGTTCCTTGGAAACCCTCCACAGGGTCACGATGAGTCAACAACACACAGCATTAGGGGAGTGTGGTGGCTCGGGGGGTTAAGTACTGGCCTGCGAACCTCACGGTCATTGTTCGAGCCCACTAGTTACACCACGGAGGAAAGATAAAGCTTTCTGCTCCCGCAAAGATTTGCAGCCTTGGATACCCTACACAGGTTGATGAGTCGGAACCAATGTGAAGGCACGTAACAACAGCCAAACAGCAGATACTTTAGGAGCCCTGGTAACAGAATGGGTTAAGTGTGATCACCAGACGTCAGTGGTTTGAACCCACCAGCCTCTCCTGAGGAGAAAGATGAGTCTGTATGCTCCAGTCAAGATTTCCCCATCTTGGAAACCCTGAGGAGCAGGTCTCCTCCATTTTACAGGGTTGCCAGGAGGGGGAACTAGAGAGCACTAGGTTTTGTGGGGGGGGCTGACATTAACCAAAAAGTCAATGGTTTGAATGCAGCCATGTCTCCGAGGGAGAAACAGGAGGCTATCT